GGACTTTTAAAGACTCAAAGAAATGTTTATTTCTTCACTCTCATAACGGTGCAAAACACACACATGATTACAATAATTTGATAACGCGTCGTTGTTATCATGTCATCTTTGAATGGGTGAACACAGACTCTTGATCCAGTTGCTTTGAATCTAACTAATTATCTTCTCGACAACCTAGAAAAAACTCAAGTATAGCTTTACATTGGGCTGTTTTTATAGACCTCGCTTAAAATAATATATAGATTGATAACATATGTTGAGCTCATCATGAGGTCTGATATAGTACTGTTAGGGCATCAAGTTTAGATTAATCGAATAGTACAGCTGTTTAATAATTTCAGTATATGGGCGACAGCATAGTACTTTATTATGGACCACTATTTTTTGAGAGTGTTGCCTTCAATGGAATGATTTTCTTCTCGTTCCTGATCGCAATAAACAGACTCACCATATTCGCATTCCCAAAGACCAATGACAAGCTTTTCTCACCGAAAAACACGATAATGTGAGTTTCTCCTCGGAAGTTTCTAGAAGTACTAAGTTTATTATCTTCTAAATAATTCCAAATTAGGAAAGCATTCCACGTTCTAATCGATGGACGGCGCTAAAAAAATGTCTCGAAAATTATTTTGAAGCAAAGAAAGCGGTATTAAAGCACGAGAATGCGATCGTAAAGTAACGAACACTTTTACCTACTAGCTGTGCATTGTTTTAACAAGTGACTTATTGGAGAATTAGTTGCGATTCCAGAATTTCGGTAGCAGTTTGGCACTATATTTTCGCTATTTTAATAATCAACCAACTTCTTGGATGCACAAAAGTGTTCTCCCAGGACGGTGAGTTACGTTAAGCATTAAATTTTTATTAGGAGTCTCGCGTGTACATATTGATTTGAAACAGTTGACTATGTCTCAAACAACGTGCATGAATTTTGTTTAAGTATAACTATTTACTTAGATCCTGAAAGGGCGTCATCATCTTTCAGAGTTCTTCTTTTGGTATGATTGCTCGGATGAGAAAACTGGAGGGAAGCTCTACAATGAGGTAGAAGCTCAATATTTATTTTACGGATACTGTAGCCCAAAATGAAAATTTCACTATACATAAATTAGTTTACCAAAATTCAAAACGCCTCGCAAACTTTGTGTTATATTACATGCCATTACATTTATAAGAATCCTAATTAACAAGGTATAATTCTTCATCTACAAACGATCTTCACTCAAACTTCTTCTGTCATTTTTGGCAAGTCTAATCTTTATAGTGTTACTTACGAATGAGATAAAAGACCTGATATGCTCTACTCACTATCGCTCAAGTGAGCAAATATTAGATATTGAAAATGTGACAATTCTTGTGGGGAGCTACAAAGCAGATCGAGTAGTTGTTATCTATTAGCGAGAAATAAACTATTACTTATACTCTATATCAGCTAAGAAAATCATTCAGGGTCACTCTTTTTGAGCAAGGAATCGGAGCGATTATTATAAAATACCTTAAAAAAATCTTCACTGAGCTTCGGCGAGATAATCTACGTTTTTTTTTAATGACGGAGCCGAAAAGTGGTTTGGATAAAACTGCTGCCAATGACATTCCGATATTCTGCAACAGTGTATCACATGATCAAGCACAGTTCATTTTATTCGACCGCCTCTAGCGGTGGTATGATGTTACAGTATATTTGATGGAGAGTGGTGTGCAAAAACTTTTGCGTCGGATGGGATTCGAACCCACATTTCACACTATCGGTAGTGCAATGGTTGAGCACGCGCCACCGGATAGGGTGGAATGTGGGTTTCATTCCCAACTGATACAAAAGTTTTTGCACACCACTCTGCATCATTGGGTAGATTGTCACATTATACCACGCTAGAGGCAGTCAAATAAAATGATTCTGTTTGCTAATCTAAACCTAATATCTGTCAGCATGAGTGGGTTCCATGTCGATAGCGACTACCCACGCCAGATCGTTGACCGTTGGTTACTGAAAGGTAGAAGCGTTGTAGCGTAGACAAAGTGGTGTCAAAACGGGCGTCGCTAGTGCGACAGTTGAGCACGTGCACCCGGATAGAATATGGGTTCGAATCCCACCTAACGCAGAAGTTCTTGCACATCACTCTAAATTATTGGGTATATTGTAGTCACATGTTCTGACTATCCAAAAATTCGCGTAGTCTGTCAACGATGTTTTTCCTTTTGAATGCTATAAGACATACATGAGAGCATCGATATTGCGCAATTTCGATTTCATTATATATCAAAGATGAAGAAGATTGCGCTGAGACGTAGAAGAGGCTATCGTGCTACAAGAATGCTGACGAGCGAATGCCGATAGCAGTAATACTGAAAAGCAACGAGATCAAAGCACTCTGAAGGAAAGGCGCCAAAAAGGATGCGAATATTACACTGCTGATCAGATGAAACCACACTGTAAATCCACCGGATTAAGTCATAATGCATGCAGACATCATAAATGGTGATCCATCTTCAACTGCAAATGCAAAGAAACAAAGTGGACGAAAAAACCGTTTGTGATGTATTATTCGCACCGTTGCTGTGACAAAATTTTATTCAATTTCATAAAACATTTCTGGACTCGCAAGCTGTTATGGGCGCGGAAGCGCACAGAGGAATCGATGGTGTTCTACACTTGCACTGTTTCTAATTGATCTTGTATCGAGCTATCCAAGTGACCTCTCGCCCACTGTTGAAAAAGTGGCGCCTGTGCTTTCTCGACTCGGCTTCTATCAATCCAAAGAGCTGGCGATTTGATGCGATGAAAATATACGATATCCTAGTCTGGCTATTGAAGGTTTTATAAAAAACCGATTTGCTTAGCTTTCCACAGATTTCGTTGAAAACTGGAAAACCTTCAGCAGCCGATAGCACACAGAATTCAAAGGCTTTCACGGATCAGAAATACGAAAACCCGCTCTAATGGAAGAATTAATGGATGCGTGTCGTCACGCCATATAACACGAAGAAAGTTACTGTAGGAACTCAGATAAAATTCCATAATTGAGACAGATATACTAACAAGTCTATCTTTTTTTGCTAAATTAATTTCTGAATTTCGGCCTTGACGTCTTATCTTCAGCGGAGTCCCTTACCGGAAGAAGGGAGTTTTTCCTTCGTGAAGTTAGGGAATACTTCACCACTATGCCTAGCGAATTCCGTGCACACTTACGCATTTCGGGCCTATTGATAAATTTATCTGCAAGAAGCAGTTCTTTTTTGTTCTTGCTATTTTGCTAATTTTCTTATGTGAGCAATACAAATGACACCCTCCATAGCTTTTCACATTTCAGCACTACAAGTGACAGTCTCTATAGAACATCTGGTTTTTTAGCATCTCATGTATCAATACTATGTGATGACGGCTGTGATGTGTGCAGTATACGTAATAATCTTCATAAAATTAGAACATCGCAGCAAAATGTTGCCGGCAGAGTTCTTAAAGAAGAAAAAAACTTTTTGATACAGGTATGAACTTCTTATCTTCGCTTTTTTACAAATTCTTCGTTAGATCTTGAAAGTTGGCTGCAAAGTCATAACGTCACCGACCAAAACTCTCTTGCTCTCATATAGAGTTTCACATTGTGTGTGCATGTTCTACACCTATTTGTTATTCAAAAAATACGAATATAATGCGCGCATGAGAAGAAGTGCGGTAGCACAGACGTAAAAGGAATTCTGCTGAACATTTGTTACTTCACTTTACTATAAATTCGACCTCTGAGCTTCAATTTTTAGCCCAGTTTACTATCCTATCCTTCGAATGTTTGACTTAATCATTTGAGGATTTTGACATCTTATAATTGATTGCTCATGAACACTTGTCGAAGTGATTTCAGACGATACCACTCAGCGTGCTCATTGCCATCGAAGTGGTAATGTTCAAATTCATCCCGATTCTTGGCGTAACCGGTCATCGTCGTTTCATCGTTGTTGGTATCGAAAACCTTATAATTATCGCCAACCTTGTGGTCTCACCGGTTCTTTTGCTAACTTTCAATAGAGACGTGCAGAAAATGGCCAGTGATGTTTTTCGAAGTTTTCACTGAATGTGTATGCATGTTTTCAATTATTAAAGTCACATTCTTTGCTAACTTGAGCTATTGATCGCTAGTCATGGTATAATATTATATTTTGTATATTATTAACTCATATTATATTTATATCTCTCATATTTACTTTACTTATCATCATGATATACTAATACTAACCGTATTAGTTAGCAGTAATAATATCCTTGTGATCATTATGAGTGACTCCTATCTTGCTTCCGTTGACTGCTGTTGAAAATATACTTCTCACATACGCCTCTATTGAAATATGAAGGAAGAGAAAAAAGACTGCACTTATATGAAGTCAATTTGTGACTCGACATGCCATAGTGCCTCATGCAGAACTAATTTGTTATTTGACATGCGATAGTGTTATTATTGTGACATTATTAAAATAGCAGATGTTATTCGTACATGAAGCAATGGAGATTAGCTCCTGAAAGCTCTTTATCACGAACTATGTACTGTAATTGCTAATTCTTGAATAGGTAGATATCGAAACTTCCCAATAGACTACTTTGAGACCTCGCTTAGAATCTCAATACGATCTAATACGACGTTTTAAGGCATTCAGAGGTTTGTTAAAGGCACTTCGTGTGCCTGACATACGTTTCGATGTTCGCGTGCACCCATCAGTAGCACAAGCTTTTTGGACCGTCACTACAACTATCGTCAGGGGAGTCGAAGATCACTTTACTCACTCACTCACTGTAATACTTTACGTCAAGTGAAAAGATCATTTGATGTGGCGTTCTATCAGAAGGATTGATTGTCGATTGTATTTGAATGTCTTAAGCCAGCCGGAATTCGAACATAGATCTCACTCTTTCCGGTGCGTTCAGTGTCGATGACGACTACCCCGCCAGACCATAGCGGTCGGCTGTTGACAGATAACGCGTTGTAGCGTGGAAAGAGTGCTGTGCAAAACGAGCGGCGGTAGTGCAACGGTTAGCATACGCTCCTAAAAAGAGTGAGATCTGGGCTCAAATCCCGACTGACAGTGACCTTTTTGCGCAGCTTTCTATACTATTGGGTATACTGCACCATCATAACACCGCAAGTGGCGGTCAAATAAAATCATTTTTGATTTCATCAGACTATTTAGAAGTTTTAGAAGAGGTCTTAAAATAGCTGGTTGAAAGGTAGTGATATACACACTAACGGAACAGCCGTAAGTCGTGCAAATACAATCGACAATACAATATTGACTGACGTTTCGATTACTGTTGACCCTTTCGCCACGCTGTATATGTGTGATGGCATACAACAATTTGAAGGCCTTTTCTCTGAATCAACTTAATTCTTCGGACTTTCAGTAATTCAAAGTGTATCACTGCAATATTAATACTGTACTTTTTTCTATAAAGGCCTTTCTAATGGGCCGTAGCAACGAAAATAAAATGGGGTTTTACATTCGATTTGTTTTGCCTGGTCTGTTGCGATCTATAATCATCTTTTCGCTAGACGTTCAGCAGTTATTCGATGACCCAATTTCTATGATCCCAAAGCAAAATTTGTTCTGAAACTGTCTGCATAAAGGGCTGTAAGATCAAAAAGAAGATAACGTTTTACATTCGAAATGATTACCCGTCGCTTGAAATTCATATCCGCACTATTGGCACTGTAAATATATATAATAGAAGCACCGAAGCACCTCATGGTTACAAGAAATGGAATATCACGATGATAATTCCAGAGAGGTATTTTTCAGAAAAATTCACCACGACTCATCCTTGCGAAAAGAACATATTTTCAGCATTTATTTTATTACACATTTCTATCGCTGTCCGGCGAGAGTGTAGCTTGAGCACCATATTCTATAACCTAAGACTTTCAAAAGTAATTTGTTGAGAGATCTTAGATCTTTTCGTGAGTTCTGATATAAGAGCAATAAGCATCAAATTTACTAATAAAAAGCAATCAAATTTCATGGCAATACCACATATAGCAGTCATTCCCCGAATAACTGCTGTTTCCCTTTTCGTCATACAGATTAGTGTGGTCTCTGCCCTCCAATTTTTCTTGATTATCGGAACGCGACTACGATCGTGACTTTACTCTTACATCAGGCCACCCACATTCCCGTGGTGGGAATATAGAGAATAAAATATCGAATAGTCTCTGTTTACCCTCACTAAAGGAGCGCATGTGAAGCAGTGGTTAGAGGTACTCTGCGTCACACACGAGGTCAATGGCTCGAGCTTGCTCTCGCGACTGGTAAATTGGTACCGGATTGGTCTCAGACTTGTCTGCGAGGATAAGCAGCACTGATTCGGTTCAGCGGAGGCCACTCCGAGTCATTGTAAAGGCCAGATATGCATTCAATCACCTTAAAAGAAGTTTAAAATTGAAGACGAATGCATGGAGCGTCTTACGGGGATTGATCAACGCGGAGAGTTCAATCCTTTATCTTTCTATCCGACTATCTAAGTTTAATAATTCAATATTAACTTACATGTTCACTTCATATAACGTCGATCCATATGCGAACCAAGCAGCCAGAGGCGTACCTGGCCATTTGCGAGAAGCAAAGGAGAAACGACCTAGCCAGTCAACGCACCAACTCCTAGACGAACAGTGCAACATTCCATCTTCTTTCATTCATAAAGTTATAACGTTTGCCCTCTGATTCCACTAAGCTTCTTATTCTCATTCATACATTGTTTCTTATCTTTAGACTTTACATTATATAGGTTCTTCCGCTCCCATAGCACATTGGTAATGTTTAACCCTTTGAGGACCACCAGTTGTAATCGCCACGCGCAGTGTGAATCGCTGCCAATGCGCGATTTTTGCAATTCAGTTGGGGTTTTTCCACCGTTTTGAGAAATAATCTGAGGTCTCTTGTGATAGTTCGATACTTCATGGTTTTCTCCACACATTCGTATACTTTTTGTGAAGATATATTATTTATTCTTTCATTATTATTTGAGCCAACTTGTCATTTGGTCTGCTAAGGGCTCTTGTACACCCCAATACACGTGTTTCGCCCTTACAGACTCGTCAGTCGGGCAGAACTCGTCGTCTTTCGATGTTTTTATAGTCAGTTCTCTCGGGAGCCTTACACTCCTTATAGAGAGTCATCGAAAACGAACGTTTTACACTCTATGTCAAACGAAATTTCTAATGCCAGCCAAAGGGCAATCAAGTGCGCAAACACTCTGTGTTAGGAGAAAATTTCGCTCGACCTAGAGTGTAAAACGTTCGTCTTCGATGACTCTCTGTGAGGGAGTAGAGCTCCCGAGAGAACAGACTATAAAATTATTGAGCACTTCTAGTCTAATGAACACTTCTAGTCTGCTAAGGTGTGTGTACAGCTGTACTAAGAAGTTCTTTTCGAAGGGTGAACACATTTTCTTAATCAGAGAGATTTCCTCTATCAAATGATTAAAATTTTTCTATAAAAAATGTTTTGTCAAGGGGAAATTTTCAAGTGTGAAAGAAGGTCTCATTTTGACTGGCGGCACCAAATATAAGCCATTTAAGAAACTAAACACTCCATTGAAATTCACTTGATTTGAGCTATCGATAATTTACAGAAACGTTTTGAAAAAGCAAAGAATACGACTTTATCAAAGGCCTCAAGTGTAGAACAGTACCGAAAATTTACATCGTTCAGATGGGAATGTCGTTTCATCGCATAAATCGTTGTGATTTTCATATCATTTGAAAGGCCTACTTCTCGCGCATCTATTGATATTTAATTTGTCTATATCTTCCGCGTATGGGAATTGTCCAGGGAACAAAAACGTATGTTGGTGCTTTATGAGTACAAATTTGGTTCAAATGCTGCTGATGCCGAATGCCTCAAAGCCGAAGGAGTGGCAAATCGATCAGATCCGAAATCTGGAGGAGCGATGGCAAAAAATGGTGGATGTTGATTGCCTTAATTCTGAATAATAGCTGTGTTGTTTGTTGTCTGAATATACGCATAAGTTTAGAATGTTTCATCAATCGATGGAAACTTTCTTTCCAACCTAGTAATCTCTACAGCGCTCGGCCCTACCATAAACCCAGCGACGAGGAAACTTGAGGTCGTGCATAGTTACGACAAGCAAAAGTTGCTTGTGGATTTCACCGACTAATTGCTGCCTATCTTCATCATACACCAAGAATGCATGTAAATGGGAGAGCATTTCTTTGCGATATTGCGAAGAAGGCGTATAAGATCTCTAAAAACTACATTTTGATCACCTATTTCAAGGTGGAAGTTTATCTCAAATGTTTACAAGATCATATTGCTCAACAACCGACACCCAGGACTATTCTGAAAGTCATTTTACCATGTCGTAGACGTTATTCTGGATCCTACAGAAGATTGGTATTACGTGCAGTACTGCTTAAAGCTCGAAGCAGAACTAAACAAGTAAGCACGAGGCGCACTAACCAGTATCTTTATTTAGCTTGTTCAAATACTGCTCATCTGAGATGTGATCTTAGGCATTATAGTGTTCGACGAGTTGTATAATTTAGGCCGAAAAATCATGTTGTATAGTACTACAAGCAATAATGAAGTGGGAACTGATTATTTCAGGGTTTAATGTTTATTTTCTTAGAAGGCATGGATTGTTGAATTCAACAAGCAAAATACTATGCATTGTGGATGAATGTTGACCGGTACTGATTTTTAGGGTGAGCTGCTAATGATCGATACTTGTTCTATAAATAACTGCTTGCTGGATAAATATTTCAAACAAAAGATTAATATCATTCAAATGTTTGAAAATTTTAGGTCAGAAATATCCAAGTTCTCTGAAAAAGCGCCCAACACATTGATGATTGTAGGATCTGTGAAGGTTTATTATAGCTACGTACCAAACGTTCTTACATATGTACATATAAGGATTTTGAAAAAGTCTTATACTAAAGAAAATGTTTTTTTTTTGAATTTCACCTTTGCATAATATCAGAAAATAGGAAGTACGATATGGAGATACGCTGTATATTACAGGAGGACTTTAGCAAAACATCAGTTTTTTTCTGACCATAAATTGCTTCCATTGTACGAATTTCACTTTACAATTATCAATACACTCACTGTGAAGTTCAAGCGACGGGCTGTATTCACTCAGAGCGTAAAACGTGATCTTAATTCTCTTGCTACAGCGCACTCAAAAATCAATTCAAAAATAAATCAGTCTTCAGAAGCTACACTTTTTTAATTACCGAACGATTATTGATAATCTATTGTAATGCTAGGTATAAACGACTGCAAGGCACACAAGGCGCTCTAAAGGCGAAACATAATTTTTTCAACATTTTTGCATGACCTAAAAGACGTGCATTTGTCTGAATTTGAAAACTAAGTCAGTATTCAGAATCGCCGTTTTTCAAGCTGTCGAATAATTACTGATGATTCGGTAATAATCGTGTGTTCGCTGAAAAGACCATACAAACACGAGTGCAAATCGCACTACGCACTCCAAAGAAAGAAACGCAATTTTCTCTCAGTAACTATAGCTTACCAAAAGGGAGATTTCAATGTTCAAGCATAGCATCAAAGCAAAATTTTCTCGGCTTTCGAATGAGTGCTCAAAGTCTAATGAAAAAACCTGTACTCGATGAGAATAGCAAGAGAATGCGCATGTATCATAAATGGTGCACGTGGTCCTGAAGATTTCATATTCTTCAATTTCTTCTTTATACCTCTGAAGCCCATAGCTTATCCCTTCCATAATTATCCTGTGAAATGGCATTCAAAATTTTACCTTACCGCTGAGTCCATAGATTCCTTGATGTGGCCAGCCTATTCATATATTCAAACTTCTTAATTGCGGACTGAAGTAAAACGTTAAAGAAGAAATTCATCACTTTAATACTCTCAATTGTACTATCCGTAAAGCTAGTATATTGACGTAACGTTACAGATCTCACACAATAATCAAGGTTCTGTACAAAAATGCTTGTCTGTATGTACATTAATACTCATTGTTCTTATTTAGAATATAATTATTGATGTGAGGTTTAATTACTCAAGTTTGAGACCTGATCTACTGCGGA